ACTGTGCCCAGAGAGGCTTCCTGCAGCTCAGTGCGGTCCTGCAGTGTGAAAGGGAAATAGGGAGCAAAGGGAGCCCAAGTCTGGGCTGCCTCAAGGTCCCCAGGGCAGCTGAGAAGAACGAAGTGGGAGAAGCATGGGTCCCTCTTCAACTGCCTCCTCCCAGAGAGCTCTCAGACCTGCTCGGGCCAAGCCGACACCCTCCCTCTCCACTTTCCACTTGAGATCTCCTCACCTCGCAGCGTTGCCAGGTTCCCAGAGTCCAGTTGGCAGCTTCTGTCCAAAGTCGAATGCTCAGGCCTGTAGAGTCAGCCCTCGCCTGGTCAGACCTCTTGCTCCCTCCTCCTGGTTCTTCTGGCTGAGAGGCCTGGAGTACTTGAGTTATGGGTTCGCCTGGTCAGACCTCTTGCTCCCTCCTCCTGGTTCTTCTGGCTGACAGGCCTGGAATACTTGAGTTATGGGTGGTCCCCAAGGCAGAACTAGCTTGGCCTCCCCTTTGCTACCCTGGCTCCTCCAGTGTAAGAAATCTGGGAGATCCACACTCATCCTATATAGGGGTACACGTCTGCCTCCTCTAGTGAGCATCTTGGAGGAGCAGGTCTTATCCTCTGTATATTCCTGGCTTAGGTAGTTAAGTCTCACTTGCACCAAGTGCTCTCCAGAGCCCACCGTTACACCAGGTAATACAGAGAAGAAGAGCAGAGATGGGCGAGATGTGATGCCAAGGGCTGATGGGCTAGTGGTAAAAAAAAATTAATAAGTCTACTGTGAAATGATCTCTGGTTATTGTTATCCATCATAAAATGGTTTATGCATGACTATTGGTTATGAGTGACAGACACCCAAGTCACATTAGCTTATGCAAAAATAAGAGGGAGTTATTTTAGCTCCTATCACTCCAAGGGGTAGATAAGGTTGACTTCAGGTATGGTTGGATCTGAAGGCTCAAATGATGTCTCTGGTACCCGATTCTGTACTCTTCCACTCCACACTTCTGCCTGGGGCTGCTGCATCTCATGGAGCCTTAGTAAAGCCCATTCCTGCTTTCCAAATCAAGACCAAGGCACATCCCGGGGACTCAGAAATGGGTCATCCCATGAAAATAAGCCCCACTAAGGGCATCGCCAACCTCACCCCAGGTTTCCTTTCCTTGCCCAACTCCCCCACCCCGAACACGGAGCAGACATTGGAGGGGCTGCGGCTTGTGTTATACGTGCATCCTCGGGAGCCTCTTGAACCGTTGTAGGGCCCAGGGTGGAAGAAGCAGCCCTGCCTCAGCATCTGCCTTCCAGCCACAAGCAGCACCTCAGATGCTGCTCTGCCACGTAGAGGTGGTGTGCCCTCCCGTGAGCAGCCTGACCTCTCTAGGCCTCAGTTTCCTCATCTGGGAAGAGAAATTGATGATATTATCCCTCAGGATTGTCTTGGCAATTAGATGAACTGTAACAAGTTAAGCATTTGACACAGAAAGTAAACCTGCACACACTGGCCACAGTTACTGTTCTGTTTTGTTTTTTTTTTAATGCCACAAATGACAAAAATTATATTTGGAGGACACACAGCTCCTCAGTGACAGAGCTGGCACTGTTTCAGGCTCGTCTGCCACCTAAGCCGTGGCCACTGCTCTGTGTGGCCTCTCAGGAGTGATAAGGAGACAGAGAAAATAAAGGGGCTTTACTTGATACTTTTAAGGATATTTGTCTCAAATCATTGCTGGGAGGAAAAAAAAAAAAGGAAGACTGTGACATGACAAAATGGCATGGAAGGTCTTACACCAAAATATTCAGTGCTTTTCTCTGAGTAGTGGAATTATGAACAATGTTGCTTCTTTTCTGTATGGTCCAAGTTTTCTAGTCTTGAGTGAGTGCTTTTTTATTTTGGGGAAGGGAGAAAGGATATAAAATTCTGCCCTGAAACAATAAGTGCGGTTTTAAGCGAATATAAACCAGTTTGAATAAGTTACAAGCCTGATAATCATGTCTTGAGCAGTTTTACCCAAATTGCATCATTTCTGCAAACCTCAATGGACATTTCCTTTCTTGGAGCCACCACAGCTGACACGAGGCACCAGGCTGATACCTTCCAGGGCTCGTCCAGTGTATGGCTTGAGGTGTGGCAGATAGGACTGTGAACTTGGAGACCTAGGTTCCATTCCTAGCTCTGACGCTAGCCCACTGAGGACATTTGGCCAATTACTTAATCTCGCTCAGCTTTGGCTTCCTCTTTTGTCAAATGTGCATCAAAAAAAATGTACCCTTCCTACTTCATTGGGTGAGCATAAAGATTAATCATGGGTGTGAAAAATGATAGACGCAACCTAGGTATAAGGAAGTCCAACAGGCACCCAGGGGTCTAGAGAGCCCACCCAAGAGGGTGACAGGGCCTGTGGGCCCCAAAACAATGCCATAGGATCTCTTCCCTGGTTTCTGGTGAAGCACATCGCACCGTGGGGATCTCTAGATCTCACACACACGTGCTCACATGCACACACACACGTGCGCACATGCATACACACGCACACACTCGCATGCACACTGCTCAGGTCAGCCACCTCTAGAGAGTCTGGTTGGCAATTGCCTTTCTTTTAAGATTTTCAGTGATTCTTTTAGTGTTTACAATGGGTGTCTTTCATTTCACATGATGAGTCTTTCTACAGCATTCTTCCCTCTTATTCTTTATGCAGTTGTTACATAAATTTTACACATATTAATTTTCAGCCCTCTTCCTCTTCTTGCCTCTATTGGGATAATTTTTATTGCCATGTCTTCAAGATGACCAATCTTCCATGTGTCTAATCTTCTTTTAATCACATTCAGTAAAATTTTCATTTCAGCTACTGTGTATCATCTCTTTGTATATATTCTATTTCTTTCCTAATTAGATTCATGGTATCCTTTAACTTTCTGAGAACATTTTAAATCATTGGTTTTTGTTTGTTTCAGTTTTTTAAAACAGGATCTCACATTGTAGTGCAGGGTGGCCTTGAAGTCTTTATGTACCATAGGCTGGCACTGAGCTGGTAATCCTCCTGCCTCATCCTCCTGAGTGCTGGGATTACTGGTGTGTGCCACCACACCCTGCTAAAATAAATGCTTTGACATCCTTATTTGTTATCATCTCTGTCACATCTCTTCTTCTATTGACTAATTTTTCTCCTACGTAGGGGTCACTTTCCTGCTTCTTTGCATGTCCAAGAATTTTTTATTGGATGGTGATATTTGCATATCATGTTGACTATCTGGGTTTTGTGACATTCATTTAAAGAATGTTGACATTATTCTATCAAGCAGTGAAATTACTTGCAGGTCAGCTTGATTTTTTTTCCAGGCTTGTTTTTCAGCATTGTTAGGACAGGCTCTGGAGCCTTAGAGCTAATTTAGCCCTATACCATCGCATGAGCCATCTGGGGCCTCTGCTGAATGCCCCAGACATCCTACAAGGACTGTCTACTCTGGCTGGTAGGAACTTGTCTATTCCCCGTACAAGGGGGCTCTAGAAACTGTTCAGCCTGTGTGCTCCCTGAAGCTCTCTCTTTCCTTGGTACCATTTCTGTGCCCAGCTATGGCATCTCAGCTACTCAGCCAAAGACTCAGATGGACCCCAAGCAAATGCCTGGAGCGCTCTCTGCAGGTTTCTCTCCAAAGCCATCTGCCTCAACCTTCTGAACTCTGATTCTTATCTCTGCTGCCCAGAGAGCCACAGAGTTCTGCTTGGCTGCTCCCTGCCTGCTCTGTGGTCTGGTGGACACCTCCTGGGTCCCTTTGTTATGTCTTATATTTAGACGTGCCCCAAAGCTTCCTGAGGTCACAGGTGGGACTTTTTGGAGGTGGCTGGATACAGGGTGTGTGATGCTGAGATTAAGGGTGCGTACTTATTAAATTAATCCACTGATTGGTTCAGCATAGTTCTGGGTGTTGATAATGAGATCCCTGAGTGTGGATGGCACTGAATTACAATACTTAGTATGGGCAGATAGTATAGTATTTGTAAATTATAGCTCAATAAAGCTGGCTTTAAAAAAAAAAAAAAAAAAAGGACTGTTAGCACTGTTCTCCTGCTCTGAAGGTAATGAAAGAATGGAGAAGGCTGGTGAGGTAGAAGCAAGGGCTCAGCTGTCGGGTCGGTGCATTGCATCTCGGTCTGAAAAGTGTGTCCATAGAGGAGTTCACACAGTTTATTGGGGAACAGTTAATGTTAGGTGTTTGTCTTAGGTTTTATTTGCTCTTTGTCAAGTACTCCAGTTATGAGAGGATTCTTACAGCTTTGGCATGAAGTCCCCTTTCTGCTTTCTGTCTTATTCGGATCCTTATCCGCAATGAACATGCGTTGAGGGGCCACCAGTGAGGGTTATGCACCCTCTGAGAACTGTGATGTCCTTTGCGTGGACTCTGTGTCACTGCTGAGATCTAACAAAATAAGGGTGACTTGGTGATTAAATCCCAGCCAAAGATTAAAGAGCAGGGAAACATCTTCTGTTGACTTTTCTGTTGACCATGACGATAGTTATTCTTTCATTTTAAGCAATTCATCCTCCCCTCATTAAAAGCACTGAGTTTTCTGTGAAGAGAAATACATTATTCATTTGCAGACTTCTTACAAGGATCTCCAGCAATATGCCCGAGTGTATACTTAAGACCCTGAGCTTTGCTTAAAATACCAATTTTAAGTGCTCACTCAGTGTTTGTTCCTCCTGTTCTAAGTACTTTCAAATACTTAAAATAGTTGTCAGCATCTCTTTTCTTTCATGTATATAGTGAGCATGACAAGCTGGTTTTTTCTTCAATACTCTGTTTTTAGATGATTTTCAGCAATTCTTGTAGGTTTTATTCCTTCACATTATACAGCACTACTGCAGCAGCCCAGCAGTTCCTCCCAGTGGGACCTCACCCTCACCCCAGTAACCTGGAAGGGTGGCCCAGGGCTTTCAGTGCCTAGTGCTATCCACGCTGAGTGAGGACAGGGCAGTGCACTCATCAGGTGTTGTATGTATGGTTTTTCCCCAGGATCATCCATGAAGATGGCTTCTCCGGAGAAGATGTGAAGCAGTACAAGCCTGTGGTCTACAGCAACACCATTCAGTCTCTGGCAGCCATTGTCCGAGCCATGGACACTTTGGGCATCGAATATGGTGACAAGGAGAAAAAGGTAAGCAGGTCCCTGAGCTCAGGGGCATAACACGGAGCGGACCTATCTCTGTAACCCTGCTGCTTCTTTCTAATAATACCAGGCTGCTCAAAGGGGCAAGAGACACTGCTCCGTATTGCAGCTATATGGCAGCCATCACCAACATAAGCCGTTGCACCAGCGTACCATGTAAACATGGGGCCACAGCAGTCACCTGCAAAGCCAGCAGCTGCAGAACTCCATGGCTGGTGACTGTCCTGAGGCGCCCATGATACAGGATAAATACCCACCCTCAGATAGTTGACCTGATCAGAAAAATACTTGCTGAGTCAAATTCACCTCGCCTAGCCACCTTCTCCCCTCCTTAGGGCTGCCTTTGCCTTCTTGGGATGGGGGATGCCGTTTGACTTGACATGCTGTACCCTATACTAAACAGCGTATGCTTGCAGCCCCTCCTAGGCAGGTCTGAGGCTCTCCTTCCCACAGGATTCAGTGTCCTAGAACAGGGATTGGGTTTTGGTCAAGTTTCTGGATATCTGATAAGTGGCGAATTGGATAAGTATACAAAAACCTCTTATTCACAAATGTTTGTATTCACGGGATGACTGAACTGTATGCAGCTACGCTGGCAAAGCCAAGTGTAGCTTCACTGGCAAAGGAAGGGGAGGGGAGCTGTAAGGGAGAAGCAAAAACAGGCTCAGAGAACTTGATCTAGAAGCAGCACTTTGCCAACTGTTTTGATAGAGAATCCCACCATCCTCTCCAGAGCCAGGGAAAGGGAGCAGGGGAGGCCTCTCAGCAAACACCAGGCCTGCACTGGAGATTCTGGATAGTATCTGTTCCTGGCTACTGTGCAGCTTATACTTTTTCTTTTTTTTTTTTTTTTTGCTAAAATTCATCTCTCTTACAGAGGAAAGCTATCATAGTCTCTGTGCAGCTGATAAATCATCTGTGACAGATAACTTTAAATGCAAAATTTAATATTTTATGCGCAAAATCCTAATTCCATGGGGTAGAGTCACCCTGGCTCAGGCACTGGCTCCTCCAGACTCGTAGGAAATTGGATGACTGAGAGGGTGTTGCAGGCCCACTTGGGGCACGGTGGCGGGGAGGGGTGCTGGCAGAGGCCTGGCCAGTCTGTTGCGTGCCTCTCAGGAGCCTGAGTCAGAAGCAGTTGCCCCACAGGACACCAGCTTTGGTTGTGGTCAGCAGAGCCAGGGCTATGGAAGGAGGAAGGCAAACTGAGAGGTACTGTTAGTCCTTCAGTCTTGCTTCTGTTAAGCGTTCACTACGGGCTTCCAGCATACTCAGTGCTGGGGATATAGGAGTAGGCACAGCAGCAGTGGTGTATGGAGAAAGCAGACACTCAGGAGACGCCCAGATCATCCGTGTTGGCTGGGGGAGCACAGGGTCTCATTCACCTTCACAGTGGTAACAACAAAGTAAAATGGCTGTCATGTGTTGAGCACTACTTACTGCCAAGCCCTGCGCCTTTACCTGTATTAATTCATTCTAAATCCATGCAGGCACTGAGACGGAAAGCAGGTGGGGCCTAGTGTGACCTTCAGACATGGTACAGGCCCCAGGCCTTTGGTTTCTCTTCTCCTGGGGCCCGAGGGGGAGATGGTGCCTCCTCAAATCTCAGCTAACCAGATGGCAGGCAGGACTAATGGCACACCCCGCATATGTGTGGCACTTGAGATCCCAGTCAGCTTTTGCTTCCCAGAGTCTCCTCCCCTGAGTATAACTCGGAAGAGGCAAATGTGACTTTGGAATGCTTTTCTCCTTCCATTTTGGAAAACGTTAACTGTTCCTGTGGAATTTTTTTCCGCTTTATCCTGAATAAAGAGATGATTACTTGGGAATTGCTAGGAGGCTGATAGGTTACTGGTTACATAGTAGAGCCTCTGGCAAACAGGCTCTTCTCTGGCTATCTCTCCTTGATGAGACTTTCGCACCAAGGCAGCCTTCAGGTAGGAGAGTGGGAGGGCTGCAATCGAGGGAAGATGGAAAGCAACAGGACTCCCTGGAGAGCCCAGCAGACTCAGTAGAGTCCAAGCCCAAGCCTGTTACAGCAGGTGGGACCTTGGCAGTACAGGCGTACAGGGATGATCTTCTGCCTGGCGAGGCCTCTGAGCTCATGTGCACCTCTTCCCTGTATTCTGCTCCTCCCTCTGAGGAGCAGGGACATAAATTAAGTTCAAGACTCAGGTTGAAGCAAGCCTGGCAGCTGGAGAAGGGCTTTCCTGGGAGCAGCTGGGTAGGCCAGAGTGGCATTGATTCTCCTCTGTTGATAGTGGGCACACAGGCCTGGGAGGGTAGTAGAGGCTTCAGGGCCTGCTGGCAGGGGCCGGCTGTGGGAAGCCAAGATTCTTCTTCCCTTTTCCTCATCCTCAGCGAGCTTCCTCTGTAGAGATACAGACAGCAAACAAGTCTTCAAGTAGGTGACGCATAGCCTCACAAGATGACCAGGACAGGGTGAAAACTAACAAGGGACATAAGGGAGTGGGGGGAGCAGACAAAAGTTTTCCAAGGAGCACCAAGGAGCCCTGAGGGAGGAGTGAGCCAGGTGACTGGAAGAAGGTAAAGTTCTCCTAAGCGTGGTCTACCTCAGCAGCCTAGTTGTTGCTGTCCAGCACCCTGGCCTCAGAGCTGAGCCTCAAAATTACTGTTTCTCTGATTTCCTGAGGGCCTGTTCACCTAGGGGATCTGTCATTTGGATGTTGGGAACCACTCCATGCAGTACTCAGACGGTGTTTGGATCTCTAAAGAAAAGACCCTCTTCCTACTCAGGCCTTATCTACTTCTGCTGCCCTCACTCCCCCCATGGTTATATCTGGAGGACAGCCCCATACCCAGGGCCTCTGTGGGACTAGCCAGCTTTGTGCCCCAAGGGCTTCTAAAAGCCTACTTGCTAGACTGTAGTGCAGCCACTGGAACAAGTGTCCCTGGGCTTCTCCTGGCAACTGGCTCCCCACCTTTCCTGGCCCTCCACTTGAAGGAGAACTGACTGGTTCCTCCCTTGGCCTCTCAGTCTTGTGAACTTGCTTGAGGCTGTGTGGTTTTGCATGAGCTTCCTGAAAGAGGGGAAGACCGTGGCGTGTGCTTGCATCATCCTATGGCCCCAGACTATATGCCTCAGCCTCACTAGATGACAGATAAAGACATGCTCTTCTCCTCAGGCCTTTGCTAGGCCTTCTCTCAGCCTCCACTCTCTTTTCTGCTTCCCTTCTTCATGGAAGTGCTCCATTTAGTAAGAACCAGCTGTACACGCTGTCTTCCATCCACTCCCCGCCTCCCCCCATGTCAGAGCAGCAGAGTACAGTGCTTTCTCTCCATTAAGCACTTACGCCATGCACTGGTATACAGGGTGATTGTGTGGATGTCTCTGTCCTTAGAGCAGTGAGCCTTGCACTTTAGTTGGGTTAGAATTCCTTGCAGCAGCTGATAAAAGCCACCAGCCTTCTCTGCCAGAAAGAGGCACATATACACATATCTAGGAAATTTTGTTGACAACTTCAGGGAGTTCCAGACCACTTTAAGCCCACTGAGGGAGGCTAGAATGAGAACTGTTCACATTTAAGATCTTTCTGATCAAGGTTTGGGTCATTCACCTTTGGATCAACTCCGTACCCCAACAAGCAGCATAATGTTCAGAACATAGTAGGTCTTTGAAATGCATCCCTTGGATGGAATAACATTTTTCACTTTCTCAGTTCTCAGGGAAAAAAGGAAAGTACTTGGAATTTCATCACTAAAGGATTATATGTTGATTGTTCAGTACCTGTCCTGTGGAGACTTGTGCCAAACCCTGTGCAAAAAGGTCAGAGGCCTATGAATCAAGGCCTCTGAGGAGCTGGCCGTCTCTTCTGATGATGAGGCTCACAGGCTAAATGAGCACAGCCTTGCCATGCGGGGATCTGGGAAACTTCTTAGGGGAAGGGAGGCTGAAACCATCCTTGAAGTATAGGTATGGTCAGACAGGTATAGGTCTGGATAAGGAAAGGGCCTAATGCTGCAGAAGAACCCTGAGAAAAGGCAGTGGTAATGATCCAAAGGAGATTTAATTGGCAGAGCAGGCCCACAGCCAGAACAGCAGTGGGATGTGAGCATAGCGTGGCAAAATTAAAGACACCATGGAGCAAGACTTGGAAGGCCTTGGAACATATGGGAATTTGGGTTTTATCTTATTAGCAGTAGGAACTGGAGAGGAGTGGAAACAAAATGAGATTTTAGGCAGCTCTTCTAATGGCATGTGCAGAGTGGACTAGGGGGGAGATCCTGAAAATGGGGGCACAGGTTAGGGACTGACTGCACTAGGCCATGCGTGAGGTGTGGAGGTCTAATTGAGGGGTCAGGAAGGAGGAGCAGTTCAGAGGGGAGCGGCAGAAAGCAGTAAAGGGGCAAAAAGGTAAGGACCAAGAAACTAAGACACTTGTGTCACCTGCCTGGACGGTGGGAGCAAGGAAAAGGTTCAGGCAGAAAGTCTGGGGGCAGCGCCCAGCTGCTGTCCAGTGAGTCTGCCTTCAAACCTAACGGACTCGTATGTGGGAGTGACCAGTGAGTAGATGGGTGTGGAGAACCAGAGCCCCAGGAATTGTGGCTCCAGGGTAGCAGTAGCTTCCAGTTTTTACATCCCAGGTTCTGTTTTAAACAATTCCCATTGTTATTTAATAAATATTATTTAACATGTAAGTCATTTAACCCTAACAACTACCTATGCAGCACTGCTATTATCTCCACTTTATAAGTGAAAAAAGTGAGGCACAAAGAGGCCAAGTGCCTCACCCAGGGCCGTGCACTACACTACAAAATACAAACATATATTGTAGATGTGTAACCTGTACCGTCCCTGTGGCTCAGATCCACAGTGCCTCTTTTTTTTTTCAGTGCTGGTGATTAAACCCATGGCCTTGAACAGACTGTCCAAGTGTTCTACCACTGAGCTACATTCCCAGCCCCCTTTGACTATTTATTGTTTTATTTTGAAAGGTCTCCCTCCCTTTCTTCTCCTGCCTCTT